CAGTTTCATTCTCTTACATGTAGCTGTCCAGTTTTGCCAGCACCATCTGTTGAAGAGACTGTCATTTCGCCATTGTATGTCCATGGCTCCTTTATCAAATATTAATTGACCATATATGTTTGGGTTAATTTCTGGAGTCTCTAATCTGTTCCACTGGTCTGTGGCTCTGTTCTTGTGCCAGTACCAAATTGTCTTGATTACTGTGGCTTTGTAGCAGAGCTTGAAGTTGGGGAGCATAATCCCCCTCACTTTATTCTTCCTTCTCAGAATTGCTTTGGCTATTTGAGGTCTTTTGTGGTTCCATATGAATTTTAGAATGATTTTCTCTAGTTCATTGAAGAATGCTGTTGGTATTTTGATAGGGATTGCATTGAATCTATAGATTGCTTTAGGCAGGATGGCCATTTTGACAATATTAATTCTTCCTAGCCAAGAGCATGGCATGTGTTTCCATTTATTGGTATCTTCTTTAATTTCTCTTAGGAGAGTTGTAGTTTTCAGGGTATAGGTCTTTCACTTCCTTGGTTAGGTTTATTCCTAGGTATTTTGTAGCTGTTGTTTTTGAGTGCTTGCTAAGGGTTAAGTAAGTAAGGGAGGTTGGTGGCTACACTGGTATTTCTATTTTATCTGTCAATTATTGGTTGAAAAAGAGGACTAGAAAACTATGGGCCATTGGACTAAATCGGACCCACTGCCTGTGTTTATCTGCACACAAGCTAAGAATGGATTTTATATTTTTGAATGGTCATAAAAAATGCTGAAAAAAAGAGAAGCATTAGCGATTTGTGACAGTTGCATGAAGTCCAAATTTCAGTGTCCGTAAATAAAGTTTTATTGGAACACGGACACTCCCATTTGTTTATGAATTTTCTATGGCCACTTTTGTGCTGCAAGGGCAGAGCTGAGCGGTTGTGACAGAGACCATACGGCCTGCAAAGCTGAAAATATTTATGATGTAGCCCTCTATGGAAAATGTTTGCTGGTCTCTGATTTAAAATGATAAAATAATTCCTATAAAGGAATTAAATAACTACATGGAATGCTGATGGC